GGAAAGAGTTTGGGGCAGATTTTTCATTTCTCTTAGCAACTGGGCATCTAATCTGCTGAAATTCCTGTTCAGCACCTAACTGCAGCTCTTTAAAATTGCTTTTGAGAATAGTGTTGGAGTGGGCCTACAGAGGTGATTGCTTAGTTCATCTCTCCCAAGCAGTAGCACACACAACTATGTCAAAATTGGGTCTGCTGTAAAAAAAGAAAACCTCTCTGACACTTGCCAAATGTCACTTCGCTAAATGTCTCTTACAACAAGCTATTTGCTTCTAGTCATATTGTAAAATCCTGCTGCCAATGCAAGACCTATAAAATTTTACACTATTCCTGCATTTTTGAGCCAATAATCCTCTGTGGTTCAATTCTGGTTTTGAGTGCTTCCAATATACTTTATTCGTGGAGTTTTGCAAGGTGACCCATGTAACACTGAGACATTTATAGAGTGGCCTGTTTCTTAAATGCTTTCTGTCGTTCCCTTTTTTGAAGCAGGGTCCTATGTAACATGGTACTGCAGAAAAACAAAAGTATTTTATGAATATCGTGGATCAAAACCAATAGTTCTCTTTTTCAAATTAATGGGAAGAAATAACTGTCCTCAGACATGAATATACATATATACATTAAGTGTGCTTGCTCACTGGATGTTTGAAGATGTCGACATGTTATTTTTCGACAGGTTGCCTCCATGAGACAACGACGTGTAGATTTCTACTTGGGAGCTATTTCCGACATGCTGGTAGCTGTTGGTGGCAGGAATGAAAATGGGGCACTTTCTTCAGTTGAGACCTATAGCCCTCAAAAAGATACATGGTCCTATATAGCAGGCTTGCCAAGGTAATAGAGATAAATTTGGAGAGTTATTCTGTGCTTGAAGAGTGGTGGTGGAGGGCGCTTACGTGATTTTAGCAGATGAATGGCTTTCTCTAGGAGGGAGGCAAAATGAAAAGTAACCAACATTATATTAGCAAGTGTACCATATAAGCAGTATTTGAGCAGCCAGCTCTTCCAGGCTGTGCTTCATATTGGCTCGAATGGTTTTGATTTCTGTCCCAAGGCCTATCTGAAGGAAGAAAGGCAAGGGGCCTTGTAATTTTCCTCTCTAGGTCTTCATGTTTTTCCAAAAGTCACTCAGAGCTGAATCTTTTCAGGGGTCCTGTTTATGTTTTGATCAAAGGCTTTTATGACTTGTTCAGCTTTCCTTTTGTTGCCTTGCTGTGGTCATTTTCCATGTAAAGTGTTTGTCTTTTTTTAGCTACTTATATTGGTTTTTGCGGATGATCCACATTTACCTGTATACAAATACCAGATATCCTTGGCAAACGTGACCTCTTTCTCTCAAGTGTGCAATCTGAGTTAAAACTTAGCTGCTCTACTTCTCAGAGGCTTTAGTACTGAAGCTCTTATTGTAAGTAACAGCAGTGCAGGGCATTACTTGTACCTGGAATCGGTATTTGGATGGTGACTTTGTAAGGCTCGTAGGATAGCACTTCATTTGCAAACAGCTGTTCAGATTTTATAGTATCTTATGTTCTTGAGAATTATGAGGGTATTAGCTATGTAGGTGATATTTTCAACGATGTCTGGAACCTGTGGCCTCCGCAGTAGTGCTTGCTTTCTTAGTGGCATCATTGACAGGATACTTACAATTTGATTTTTAGAATTTAGGGTTTTTTCCTTATTCCCTTAGCTGCAGAACTGCAGAGCCCTAGGCAGCCAGTGAAGGCACAGAAGCCTGTTACTCAATTCTATTTTGGGCAGGTGCTGCAATGCGAGTCTGATCCAGGCTAACAGCTGGGCTTGAGTGCTCTTAAGAAGCAGGATGCTTTTTTTTTCTTCTGCTTATGTAGGCAGATCTGGCAGTTGAGGCTACACATCACCATCTTCCCTGGAAAGCTGCATATGAGAGTATCTTTAGTTCCTATGCCCTTTTGTTACTTGTCGTGACTTGTGAGATCCTAGTAACATCTCACAGAAATTGCAGCACAGCTGTTTCAAACAAATTTTTTCAAGAAATGTGAATGGCGCCTGACTGCCTTGTATGTTGTTTTAAAAAAAAAAAAAACAAAAACACTTGCCTTAACAGGTGTTGATTTGATTCCCCCCACCCCCGCTTGCTTCCCTCTCGCCTTTCCACCATATAAAAATTGTCTTTGGGTATGGTTGCATGGTTGACTTAAGGCAACCAGACTGTAAGCTGTCTGAAAAGGGGCAGTCTTGTCTGTCTGTTCTTACTGCTTCCGGTGTGTTGACTTTGGGAGTTTGGCAGCTCCAGCATTTAAAAGTGAACTTGGGGGGGGTGGGGGGGGCCAGTGGGAAGGGACTAATTTTTGGTTAGATTGGCAAGCTGGTCAGCTTAGACCAGGCAAGTGTTCCCCTTATGGAACAGACCCCAGTTATATCAGCCTAGCTGGTCCTTAAACTGGTTAAGCTAGAAGCGCAGTGACTATTTTAAGCTATTGCTGTACTCCAAAGAAATAGTCCTGTGTCCCGTCTCTTCCTGTCTGCTCTACCCTGCTCCTTTGCTAACTCTCCCTTGTGCCAGCTCAGGTATTCATGCAGCTGCATGGCGAACTATCTGGTTTCTCGTTTTTCCCCTATAGCTGCTCTCTTACCTGGTAATGCATTTTTAGTTACATCTTAATGGACATTTAGTACCTACATATTTTTTCTGGCTTTTCAGCCTTCTCTCTGCTGTTTGGGAACTTCTGCATTGGACAACACTGTTAGCAGCAGTGGTTTTTTTTCTGTACAAAAGGAATAAAGTTAAAATAACGATATTCAGATTGCAAAAGACAAAGATCAGTGCTGAGGTCAACAGCAGAAACAGTCTTTCTGAAAGCAGGTACAAGCTAATGCCGCTTGAGCTCAAGGAGAAATGTGGGCTGTAGCAGGTGTGGAGAGCTGCTGGAAGGGAACGGGACAATCCTTTATGGGTGTACCTCAGATGTATTTGCTGACAGCAAAGGAAGGATGAGAGAGTTTTGTGATCTATTCAAGACTAGGAAAATGCATGCTGGTTACAGTTTCTTCTGCGCATTCTTTGCGTTTTCCCTTTAAAATACTCTGCATCTAATCTGTCATGTTTTCCTCCCCTGTCACATGCTTTTGTTTCTCATACTGATTTTCATTATTCTTTTTGCCCAAATGACATCTTCCCGAGCCCTAATCTAGCAGCAAGTCTTTTCTTCTCACGTAGGAGGAATTAGACGATCCAGTCCTCCGCTTCCTTACTGTCATAGTCTCATCAGAAAACATGTCCTACTGTATCCTTTTTGTTTACCGTTTTATATCTTGCCCTCTCTGAAGGGAACATCCACGGTTGGTTTTTTGAAGGGGATAGTGTTGGGGGGTTGATCCTTTTAAGCGTGTGGTCACAGGAAAGAGGCTCCCTGTCCCTAGCTCTGGCGTTCCTTCTGACTGCTCTAAGCCAGCAGCTGTATGGCAAACTATTCCTTGGAGTGATAGACAGGTGGTGTTCTGTGGTGATGGCCTGTGTGTAGCTTGGTTAGAGCTGTGTGGGGTGGGATTGTCAGAAGTTATATTTGCTAAAGATTTCACTCAGAAGGTGCAAATAAGGATTTTTCTTTTCCAAAGAGTGATGGTTTGCCATGTGTGTGGAGATTTTCAGGGGAAAGGCAACGGTTGCATCCTTGATACATGGCCTCCTGCCCGCTTCCAACTTCTATGTCCTTGTTCCTGTACGCAGGAACAGTAACGCTCCTCAAAGAGCGAGCTTTGCAGACTCTCCCCCCTCCCCCTCCATTTGGTCAAAACAATGTGTTGTTTTCCCTAACCACTTTCCTTGGAAGGAGCTGAGCTGTTTTGAATGAAATAGTGCTGTCTTGCTGGAAAAGAAAACACCACATCCTGAGGCAGATGCTTAATGTGGAAAACTTCAGCCAACCTATCTAAATGGTGGAGCTGGTCCAAGTCTGCTACAAGTGAATTTTGCCTGAACCTCATTAGGGTTGGTGGTTATAGGATACCTTTTACATTCCTAAGAGAGGTCCTATATTTTTTAGCCATTCCTCCAGCCTCTTTGGGGGGAGCAGTTGCTGCCACAGTTTCCAGTCTGGAAAGGAACAGCAGTAGCTGACTAGCTTGGCAGAGCAGAAGCTGGTGCAATGTGTTCTCATCTTGAATAGCCTTAGCAAAAGCATGCTGCAGACATCAGTGAAATTAACTGTGTGGCCCTAGGTTAAAGTTTGGTAGAATAACTTCTAGCAGTTCTAAAAGGAAATGTGTTTGTTGGAACAGGTTAATGAATGATGGCAGGTGTTCTACTAGTCTTGCAGGGTTGTAACAGATGGACTCATAAGATTCTGAGTAACCACAGCTCGCCTGGACTTTGGTTGGAGTAGGAGATTCCCAAAGCTTTAGTAGAGTTGGGCTGCGTGTGGCCTTCATTCTGCTTAAGAAGATAAATCCTAGATTTTCTAGTGCTTACTGAATGGTGTTACTGTGACAGAAGCTGTAATTTTTGCAGCATTATATCTGGGAGGATTATTCAAAATTGGCAGTTTGTTCCAGTATGTTCTGAATTGAAACTTCTTTCTCCTTAATGGCTCTGTCTTTTCTGTCCACTTTCTTATAGATGAGCAATGCAACAAGCATTTTGGCAGCACCATCTATAAGATGGGCCTGTTGTATTCAAATGTCCTGTTCTGTTGCACACTTAAAAATGCCACTGTTCTAACTGCAGGGCCTACGGAAGGCGTTCTTTCTGATTGGTTTAAATTTGTGCATTTTTTTCATGCAGTTTTCTATTAATCTAAAGCCTAGTATGTGCAAATTTAGGATGAGCTTTTCATAAATTAGGCTAAGTGAAAACACCTTAGCCTGTTTCAACAGGTAATCTGCTTATATTGCAAAATAACAAACTCGCAGCCAATTTGATGCTTCAGATACGATTGCCTTTTCGAATTACTGTTTTGACTATTGTTATTCGCTGGATGTGCCCATTGATTAAGACCAAAAAGGCTTCAGTGCTTTTTCTATAGCAGTCTATGCTAGACTGCTTGCAGGTACTTAAGAGGAAGTGTCTACTGCTTACCTGTATAGAATTCTGCTTTGCTGTTAGTATAGGAAAAGGTTTAGCCTACGTCACCCACAGTCAGTGAAGTTATTTTAAAAAAGTCTTTGAAGAAGTTAAATGTTGTATGTAATGGGACTGCTAGCAGCAATACAATAACCTTCTGTTATGTGTTGGATTCAATGTCACCATACTTTTCTTGTTTTGCCTCCTAAAAACTATCTGTTGTCTGACACTGCCTCCATAGTGTGCTGTACTATATATCTTCCAAGTAGCTTGCTGGATAGAAGATGTGGGTTTAAAATCCCACCCAGTGTGGGAAAGGAAATGAATTCATTTCGTCCAGCCTGTTTCCCAAACAGGTAGTCTTGCTTCTCAGACCCACCCTTCTGTGTGTGTAGAGAAGCAGAGTATACCAACCAGACTGGGTGTCACGGGAGACATATATATATAATCTTGCCTTTAAGCTTCTTATGAAGCAAGTGGCTAAGAAGCAATAGAGTTCTGAAATCTTCTTTTCAAGTTCTCCAGGGATGGTACTGTGGCCCCCAAAGCTGCAGTGTCTGTCCTGGGCATTCTGTGTACTTAAGCCAAAGGTGTCAAGGATTTTTGCTTCTTGTAGCAGGAGCTTGTTAAAATAGTCTGATTCAGACACTGGTCAGGGATCAAAGTCTTTGGTAGGCCCCTAGAATAATAAACATCTTCTAGCTTTTCTCAGAAGTATCGTGCTTTCAGGGTAAACGTGGCTTTTCTTGCTTTTCTTTTCCACCTTTTCCCTTGGCACAAAAGTGCTTGGTATTTTATGTGTATGCAAGAAGTTATGGTACATCCACATTTAGTTTTAAGCATGTTCAGGCATGGTTCAAAAGCATTGCAGGCTAAAGCAATGTTAACATAGGTTTGTCTGCCATGGAGGTTGAGTTGTCTTGAGTCCTTGACTACAAAGGATGGTAGTGGAGTGCAGCATGATGTGTATATTGCTCTGTAGCCCCATGGGCATTAACTTGTTTAGGCTTTTTGTATCAACGTGTGCGCCAGTTTGGCATGGCTGGTGCTGCAGCTACATCTTTGGACCAAAAAAAGCATGTGCAGGAAGGGTGTGTTCAAAGAAGCTGAGGCTGTCCCTCACCTTAGCATTCTACTTTAAGAATTCAAAAGGGTTTGGTCAGAAATATGCTTATGCAAAATTAAGAACAGCCTCAAGAACTGGGTTTGTAGCGGCTTTATTATAGCCAATCAGTGATTTTTCTCTTTGTCCTATGGAAACAGCATGCCTGATGTTGGTTTCTACCAGCTTGTTTTGCCTTATTTCAAATATGGCCTCTGATCTCTGATTAATAAGGTCTGTTGACTTGTTCTGAGGTGACTGAAGAAGTTATAACCTGTATAGCAGAAGTGGTAGAACAGATAGGTAGCTCATGAAAAGGACGCTGAATATAACATGCCTGTAAACAAACTGGGCTGTGAGCGCTGGTGGGTGTGAACACTGATTCATGATGCTGAAGTTGTGGAAGGGGAAAGCAGTAGTAGTCGTCTTGTTGGTTTTTCTTGGTTAATCGCTACTGTTAAGTCTGACAGGTATCATGATTATTTCCTCTCTCTGTCATAGAATCCCTTGCTGAGATGTGGATTTTTTCCTCTCAGGCCCTCTCAGACTGATCCAACCCAAGCACTGGAACAGGAAAATGGGAGAGAAGGCCATGCCAACTAGAGCAGGATGGGTTACTTCAGTTGTATGACACACTGTAGAGGATGCCTTAAAAAGTGATTGTCATACCTTAGCGCTCTGTAGCGAACAGGTATGAAAAGGATGCCTTCAAAAGTGATTGTTGTACCTTAGCACTCTGCAGCCAGCAGTATGAATGTGGAGAAAAGTTACTGGGTAACTAACAGCATTAGGGATTCTCCTGTCTTCCCTTACTGTGAAGTTTCTTGTTTAGTATCAGTCCTTGTTAAATGCTGGGTATCTCAATAAAATCTGTAAGTACTAAGATGAATTTTCTTGTTTGCCTGTCCTAGGTTTACTTATGGCCATGCTGGAACAGTCTACAAGGAATTTGTGTACATTTCAGGAGGCCATGATTACCAAATTGGCCCATATAGAAAAAATCTGCTCTGCTATGATTATCGCACAGATGTTTGGGAGGAGAAAAGGCCAATGATCACTGCCCGGGGGTGGCACAGTATGTGCACCTTGCAGGACCATATCTACTCCATTGGAGGCAGTGATGACAACATAGAAACCATGGCCCGTTTTGACATTCTGAGTGTGGAGTCGTACAGCCCTCAGTGTAATCAGTGGACCAGAGTTGCTCCTCTGTTGCAAGCAAACAGTGAGTCAGGGGTGGCAGTTTGGGAAGGCAAGATTTATATTCTTGGAGGCTACAGCTGGGAAGAAACCGTCTTCTCCAAAACAGTCCAAGTTTATGATAAGGAGAAAAATAAGTGGTACAAAGGAACTGACTTACCCAAAGCAATTGCTGGTGTGTCTGCGTGTGTCTGTGCATTGAAACCTAAAACAGATGACAAAAAGAAAAAGTCAAAAACAAAAAAACATCAAGATCGAGGAAGATGACTACTTCTGGATAACCAGCCTTTGAGGGTGGACTGCAAAGGAACTTTATATTGAAACATTTCTTTCTAACCTTGATTGTTTTCTTTTAAAATGGAAACAAAAGAAAGTGTCTTCTGCAGCCTCAGAAAATGTACAATTGAATGTGGGTTTTTTGGTGGGTTTCTTTTTTTTTGGATTGAGCTCATGTTTAAGGTTAAAAACAACAAAAACACAAACTGCAAAACCCCCTACTACTGTGTAAGGGGTGAGGTGACAAGAGAGGTTATGCCACTCTCCTGAATGTTATGGCATAGTCTTTTACTTCTGTGGTTCATGGCATTTCCATGCACATTGTATTCTATTGATGTTTTAAAATGAAACTGAACCTTTGGCTGAGATGATAATGTAGACAGAAGGCAGAGTACTGAGTGTCTAGTTTGAAGTTACAGAGCAGTTCAGAGAAGTTCCAAGAGCAACTGCTAAGAAAAAATAAAATGGAACTTGGACATTGTTGTAAATTTTGAATTTTTGTTCCATTAAATTTCATTTACAGTGCGTTCTTGAGTTGTTAGTATCAGATTTCTGGAACACATGAGTGTTCAAAGAGAATATTGCTTTTGGTGAATGCAAGTCAGAGTAGCTTATTGAGCAAATAACTTCACTATACTCTTAAGATTCAGAAGATGTTACTAGGTGGCTAAAGAATAGATGGGAGTGACATGGGCTGGGAGTGACAGCACTGTGAACTCTGAAATCTGGGAAAGATTACATGAACCTGCATCCCTTGTTGGCAGCAGGAACTGTTCAACATTTTTCATAACTAAACACAAGAGCAAGCTTTTCTTAGCCTTCAAAACCTGCCCCAGAACGAGAAGAAAACTACTGAAGTGCTTGGGAAGACTTGAGGATATGGATGGAAACTGTATAGTTTGCCTGGAGCTTCAAAGCAGATGGAACTGATACAGTTCATTGTGAGGCTGGGGGTGGCTATGCAGGTAACGGGGAAAAATGGCAGGAGGAGCCTCTAGGTGAACCTGAAGCAAGAGTATGTCCTTCCCAGCCCCTTCAGGCCATAGAAGCTGGGATCTGCTTCATTTACCTTGGGGCTCACAATGGTTGCTACTAGTAGCAAGTGCGCATTTGGGATGTGTGTACTGGCACGTCTGCTATGAAGAAGACCCTGATTAACCCAGGGTAATTATTTGAGATTCAATAATCCTGAGGAAAAAGCAACTTGGATTTTTTATTTGAGCTAATAGCCCACTCCCTCCTGCCCAAGTTCAAAATGGATTTTCATGGAACTGATAGGCTTGGTGGGGACTCCAACCCAGGGCTTGTCAGGCATGCAACAGAACATCTTCCCCAGCAAGAAGGGTTTGAAACGGAGAAAATTAAAATATTCTCAGGGCTGCGTTTGGGGCCCAGACAGAAGGACTGTGAATTGCATGTTGGTCGGTGTCACGTTATCCTCTGCATACCAAGTAAAGAGATTTCTGACCCAAGTGTTAGTCCGTCCTCTACAAACACAGCTCATTCTGCTGCAGATATTAAAATTCCCCGACTGTCTGGCCAGCCTTGGGTCATTCACCCTGGGGCGTTTTACAAACGCACCTCTGACTTGCAAGAAGTTGATCACCAGCAATCTGATCCAACCGCTTTAGTTATTGTAATAATGCCAGGCCACAGACTAGTATTCCTCCTTCCCAAAAGAAGAAAGTTTTAGAAAGTTTTTAAAAACTTTTATACTCTTTTATAGCACATTTTGCTAACTTAGTCTCTTGTTTGCCATATATTATTTACTATGGAAGCTACTGCTCTGTAACTGTGGCCCTATTGTTGCTGTCAGGAACTCATAACTAGATGGATCTTTCAGTCTACGTGTATGGTTGGTTGGGATGCGATGCAGCTGTTAAAGCAGCATTTACATTCTCGGCATTGTTAGGCAGTCAGCTATAATTGTGACTATTGTACAGCCTCTTCACTGATAGTCCGGCATGTCAGACATGCTAAAAAACATTCTTTATTTTCAGCTATTGGTGATCTCCTGAGTGGATTTCAAGAGCTTTAGTTTAAAGTTCTGCTGGGGAACTCTTTTTTATTATTATTACTTTTTTTCCTCCCCTCTCTCTTTTCCCTCAGTCTTCCTTTCACAACTCCCTTGTCATGCACCATAAGCATCTATTTCAATTTGCCCTTTTTTTTTTTCCACCCAGTGCACATGCAGTCAATATCCTGATACCCTGTTTTTTGCAACTCTTTATGCATTAATGAGGATTAATTGGAAAACAGTAGAGAACATTTTTGCACTTAAAAATGTCATTTGAAGATCTTGCAATTTAGAGAATTCCTAGATCTGTTACAATAACTTGTATTGAAAGAAGTACCTCTCAGTAAACTTCTGGAGTGCAAGGAAGTTACAGGACTTTCCCAGTGCTAAGAAAGGATTTGAGAAAACTGGTTATGAGATGAATGTTGTAAAACTCCTTGATATTTTTGGGGGTGTTTAAAAAACATACCTAAGGAGTTTGTCTTTCACTTGCATTAATGAATTTGTTTTAAAGCCTTTGTACATTGCATGAGGTAATGGTTATTATTTTTTTATCCTAAAAATAAATACATTTTGGCTATGACAAACTCATTAATGAGTTTCTTTTATATGTGTGTGTGTATATATATATATATATCTGAAATCCTTGCTACGTTAACTGACAACAACTACTTAGCTTGTGGGGAAGTTTTCACATGTAAGTATAGAACGAAGATTTCAAAGACTTGCTTTATTTCTGTTAGTTGGTTGCTTGTTCCTATACTCTCCCCTTTTAATTAAATGTGCTTATGTATTACATTGATGTCTGAAAAAATAAATCCAATTTAGAATATTGTATTCATCACTGTCTGACTTGTGTGTTGATTTAGTTGATGTTTTCTGTATTGATAAACTGGAAAGAAGTAACTAATTATTTTAAGGTGACGTTAATACTGAATGCAAAGATTTTACTAGGCAGAAGCCAAATGTAACAATTTGAACTGAAGTAGAAATATAAATTATTATATGGCTAATCCACATTTCCCCCCCCAATCACGCTCCAAATCATGCAGTCCTACGTAACTTTTCATGTTCTTTTTGTAGCTGTGACAAAAGATCCAATCCAATTTACAGTGGTCTCAAAGATAGTATTTAATGGGGGCAGGGTAAACACCATTATGATTTCGTAACGTTAAGCTTAATTATGTAGGCAAAATACTAGCTCAATACTCATCAAAGTGAGTTTGTTTGGTTCCCCTCCCCCTCCAGTCATTATTCATTTATTGCCCTTTCAGAAACAAAGGCTATAAATGAGTATATGACATCTCTCATATTATTACAGGCTACTGGAGCATCCTATGTGTCATTGCTGTAAGAATATTTCCATTATTAAAGGAACAAACGATTACCATTTGCACACAGAAAACCCATTGTAGTAAGTGTTGCTAAAAGCACAGTTTGGCAGGTTCCCCCCTTAGTATGGATGGTGTTTACCTAGCCATGGCTTATCATCACTCAGGAAGTGTTAGTAGTTTATTAGTAAGAGGTACGTTATTTTGAAGCTGTTTTAAAACATGAACCTTCTAAACGCTGAACTGCTCTGTCAAATTGGAATTTTGCAAAAATGAAAGGGAGAACATTTATGTATGCGATGAGTGAAATTCTACTTTCATTTTCATAGCTGAAACAGCAATCTCGGCAAGTAATTAAGATCGGTAGAGAAAGGGTACATCTTACTGGACCCTACTACAGTTATAGCATCAGCCTGGCTTCTGCACCTGTAAAATCCCCAGACTTCATCTGTAATATTTGTAAGACATTTTACTTCTTGTCAGGAAGCACTGTTTTCTTCCTACCCCAGGGAAAAATAACTACTGCTCTGCCTCATTTTAAAAAGGCTCCTAATCCAAATTCTGAGGAAAGATCCTCTTGCCTGATGCAGAGTAGCTAACAAAAAAACTTGCTTCTGTCTTCGCACACTTATATACAGGTTTCTTAGCATCAACATGTCAAGGAGCTGCTGCCTGCACAACTAACGTTAGATAACAAAAATCCCTGGAGATACCCTGAGGAAAAATTGCACAACAGTGTGAGATGCAGTTGTTTTGAATGCTTGAGAACAGAGCAGGAAGGAAATATTTTTGTTTGCAGTTTGGAATCTTAAATTGTGAAGAATGTGCCTGAGTGCCTTTCCCCATAAGAGATCAAATGGCTTTCTTCCACATATTGATGATTTTTATATGCCATTCCAGATTCAATAGATTCTTGAGTGATAGCAAAAATATCACGTTTAGAGAATTTAAAGAAAGATTTTAACTTTTAGTACCTTTTCTGAGAAGCAGTTTAACTTGCAGAAAAAAGTCGAGATTCTAGTTGTGATTCTTAGGTTGCTGATATGTCTTAAGGAACCTCTGACCAGTCAGAAGTTTCTATCGAAAAAAGGGAAGCGTAACAAATGGAAAGCTTTGCTTTTTTTTTTTTTTTTATCATTTTATTTCAGTTTCTTGTAATAGTTCAGCTCTCTTCATCCAGCAGAATTTATAGACTTAGAACACTTCAGCAAGTAGATAGTGTCATCCTTACATCAGACGACAAGTGGAAAACGGGACGTAGTTTTTACACGGCTGATAGTCACAAAGATAGAAACGGACCTCAGGATTGCTGACTTCTTTTTCTTTTAACCTGTTAAACGTGGCTGCACTTAGTCCTTTTGATAAAAACCCTTTATGTGAGCAGTTTTAGCAGGAAAGAAGATGGAGTGGAAACTGAAATTAAGAATGACCTTCTGACCATTCCAAATTATTCTGTTCCTATGGTTTTAATGAGTGAAAAGCTAATTAAACCTTTACAAGCTCTGTTTTTGAGCTGTCTTTCAGACCACATAAGGCAGGTGCATCCCCCGTCCAGTTGGAGATGCACTGTTGCCATCCTGTGCAAGGTAGAGCATGCACAAGGCAAAGTCCCAGCTACGCAGGTTCCTTCTCCCTGCTGATGCACTATCAGATGGATGACAGACACACAGCCCAGGCGTGGGTTTGTTGATACCAAATCCATGTTACAGCATTGCATGGGCTCTTGCTGGGACTCACTACAGCTTTGGGAACAAAAATGTAGTTGTGTTTTTATCATGACGGTTTCAGCGATGAGTAACAAAATGGTGAATGGAAAGAATTTAGAGGTGAGATAAAGGTTCTTTTGAAACTGCAGCTCTAAAATAGACTGCATTGCATGAGAAGAGAGAAGGCTCATACTTAAGACAGGGAAGGATGAGATACAAATAATTCAGCCAAAAGGTCTGCATAGATAACTGAAACAGAATATATTGAGTCAAGCAGCCACACGATCTACTAAGGGCTTGTCTAGACTTGAAATTTCTTTCAGGCTCACTTGAACTATTTCACGTTTAAGTTCCTTGCATCAACAGATTAAGTATATTTGTTACAAATTATCAGAAAGTTTAAGAAGGAGGAGTTTGGAGCCCAGTTTGCTCGAGTGCTTTCCAGAATAAAACACCTCCTATTGGTGTCCTGTACGACTTTGCTGATTGCTTCTCCTTGTATAGCTTTTCTTGCCCTGGTGCTATCTCGGCTTCTCTTTCTAAACACAGGGATGCCTGTTGCTAACCTGTGCAATTTCAGGTCACAGAAAGTTCACAAATTTATGACTACTCAGCAAGCATGTTTCAGTAATCAGGTAAACCTCTGAAGTACGAGGTTTTGGATTAAGATTTATTGGGAAAGCCTCAGGACTGAATATCCAGCAGAATGCTATTCAGAACATCTAAGCACAGGCATCTATCTGAAAAAGAGGTTTGACAACAAAGACCTACGCAAGCTCTACAAAGAAAGGAAAAGAGCTTCATCTGGGTTGTCCAAATTTTTTATTATAGCCATTAGCAGTAGGAAGGACCTCCATCAGCAGCAAGTTCTGTCCTTTCTGTCCCAGGTACTTCATATAATTCCTTTTGTATGCCTGTGGCCACTGTAAGGTAGCTAGATTTACCTCTGGCAAAGTTCATAGGGTCTCTGTGGACACGTTGGAGAGGGACTGTCACGGCTGTGTTTTACAGATTCTGCCAATGACATCTCTGTTGATATCGACTTAAGAGTAGGCTGGTTAAGAACTTGAAATACAAGAAGCCAACTGAACCGCCATCAGAAGCTCCTGTCTGAGGTCCAAGCAGGGGAGATGACTGCTTCTGATAAGTATTTTATGAGGGAAATGAAAAGAGCTTCCTTCCTAACACTATTTTGGTGCTACTGTGGGCATAGAGTATCACTATGCTCCCTTAGTCTCCTGCTGCTTTAAATAAATAATCTCTTTCTGAATGTTCTCTAAACGCGCAGCAGCCACCTTAGCTTTTTGTGTCTGGGTGCCCCCAACGCACAGTATAGCGTTGACTGGGCTTTTTCCTCCCAGTTGAATTCCATTACCAAAATGACTGGAGAAACAGCAAAGCCCTTATTGTACGTAGAAACTACCAGAATAAAAGTCTTCTAAAGCTCCTAGCACTGTGAAGAAGCTCTGCATAGACATTGATAAACCTTCCACAGTGATCAACCAGGTCTTGCAGCACTACAGGAAAATACTCGTTTCTGTCCCTGAAAGAGCAGATCAAAGCGGCCCATCAGTTGCTTCAGTTCAGGAACCTCAAATGTACAAACCCTTAACCCCTGGGTCAGTTTTATGCTGTAGCAAGGTCATGAGGAGTATGATATTGTAGGATAAGCTATTCCCAAGCTTTTTGCATTTATAGCAGAGTAAGAACAATTACCGTAGTTGTTATTGGGCGGCAACTGATTTGGAGTATTTTATTCAGCTCGCTGGCTAATGTAAAACAAGTCTTTCTGATTCCCAAAGATGTGACCCTCCACTGCTGTTAATCAAAATACAAAGTATTTAAGTGGTCACATGTTGTGAGTTAACATTATTTTACTCTCCCTTTACTCTCCCTTAAGAACGTGGATACACAGAAAGCAAAATAGACAACCACTATTTTTTAAAGTCTGAAAGGCAACATATTGTTTGTGAGTACCTGGCCACTGACATAAAGGATAGAAAAAAAGTAAAGCTGATTTGAGCAATGCAGTGACGAGTAATACAATGACACACCACCAGAAATGGCAAAAATGAATGGTAAGATAGAACTGAGGAGGAAACTTTCCGGCAGGTAAAAGTTCCTTCAAAGGATTCTATTATGATCAAACTTACATAACTTACAGTATTACAAGATATTGTGGTAAAAATTTAACAGACATTACAATGAAACTGTATTAAGGCAGGATAAAATTGAAGGTGTTATTAATTTTGCTCAACAGTTGCATCCTCTCTGCCCACACCCTAATTCTGGCCAGTCTGCTCCAGCTTTGAACAATATTGGTCCTTGAATTAACCTGTTTTCAGGTGGAAAGCACTCTGCTCATTTGTATTTTCAGCCATTTGCAGGGGCAACCTTTCCAGCAAACACAGTCAGTTTACTTAAGCAGGATTGTGGGCAGAAGGGAATTTTGCCTTCAGCCAGACGAGCTCTGTAAGGGTTTTTACTCCATTATTTACCTTGTAAATTAGACTCCTGTGGGCAGAGGGGGTTTCAGATGTAGGAAGTGCTTCACGTAAAATCCCCATGCATGTCTCCCTCTTTCTTTCCCCCCACCCCCTTTAAATACTAAACAGCTATTTTCACTGCTGGTTCTCTGCCTTAGGACAGAAGAGCAACAACGCTTGCTAGAACAAAAAGAAAGGGAGCGGAGCAGGGTGTGTCAACTGAAATGACAGAAACAGATACAGAAAATCATCTACTGTAGTTTCTTCCCATTACTGTCATGAGCACACATTAAGCGTTGCACTTATAAGAGGGAAATG